CTCCGTATTGTGTTTTCCTGGGGATTTAGAGTGGGTTGTAAAACATTTTTTTAAAATTTTGCCTTAAGCATGTTGGTTGAGCATGGCGGCATCAACAATAGTCAAGCTTACAGATCAGGTTCCACCTGCTTCCATTTTTTATGAACCACTAACAGTACTACACTTTTTAAGTGATCATGTTCTAGAACATTAGTTTGAAATTAACTTTTTAGACTTGCTTATCTATACCTGCAACTGTATGAAGGTATCTACTAAAATCTGTCATTATGCTGAGTCATACATTGTGGTGTTCCAATAGAAATCCCGTGACTTACCTACATCAACAGTGGGGTGTAAATACAAGACTGAATTTTGATTTGAGGCATTACACAAGCATATCTATGCATATAAGGAACATTAGCATGTTGTATTTGTTTTGTAATGCGGGTGAGGTTCTTCTGTTATTTGATATGAGTGCATGTATGCCAAATAGTCCTCGGCTTATAAGCATTCCTTTAGTGACTGAAGTTACAATGACTCTGAAAAAAGTGCCTTATGACTGGTTTTCACAGAACTGGTGAAGCATCCCCATGGTCATGTGATCAAAATCCAGGTGCTTGGCAACTGGCATGTATTTATGACAGTTGTACTGACCCAGAGTCATGCGATCAGCATTTGTAACCTTCCCGGCCAGCTTTGGACAAGCCAAATCAAGGAGGGAAGCCAGATTCATCCAGGGCATATTGTTTGATCCACAATAGCAGTCTGGCCAACTGCTTTTGGCTCGCAGCCTGATGCGCTCATAACTGCAGCGTGAGAATATGAAAAACGAAGGCTCCCTGAAAGAAGAGACTCATACAGGTAGTTCTATAAATGCCTGAAATTCAAGCAGGAATATTCATTTGTGGCGTTTTGTTGAAAAATCTTTCACACTTTCTATTTAATTGCGAATTTAGAAGATTACAGGTAGTCCTCGAATTACAACAGTTCATTTAGTGACCGTTCAAAGTTACAACGGCACTGGAAAAAGTGACTTACGACCATTTTTCAGTTACAGCCTTTGCACCATCCCTATGATCATGTCATCAAAATTCAGAGGCTTGGCAACCGATTCATATTTACGACCGTTGCTGTGCCCCGGCGGTCCTGTGATCCCTTTTTGCAACCTTCTCACAAGCCAAAGTCAATGGGGAAGCCAGATTCACTTAACAACCAGCTTACTAACTTTTATCAGCTGCAATGATTCACTTAACAACTGTGGCAAGAAAATGGGGTAAGACTCACTGAACAACTTCTCACTTAACCACAGAAATGTTGGACTCTATTGTGGTCGTGAATCGAGGACTATACAAAACACACCGGTTTTCCGCGGTAGAGACCCATCCTTTCGTTTGGGTCCGAGCCCCTTAAAAAAAAAAATGGCGTAACCCCGGAGTAGCTGAGCCCTGAGCGGATGCAGAACCTCCTGCTGCAAACAGTCTCCTCCGTTCCTCTCTGGGCTTCATTGCGGGGCTCTGGGATCCCCCCCCACCTACCCACGCACGAGCGTCCAGCCGCATCAACCACGATGCTCCGGCGGGGAGGGCGGGCAGTGGGAAGGTCTCTCTGGGGGCGGGGCCGCCTGGAGTGACCCCGCCCCTTTGGAATGGCAAAGACACGCGGTGCCGGCGGCTGCCGCTGAGCAAGAGCAGCGCGTTAGGATCGGAGCAGCTGGTAGGTATCTCCGCGCTGTTGGTCCCGCTCTTTGCCTCTTTCCATTGCAGCTGCTTTCGGGAGGAAAAGAGGAAAGACCTTCCAGGCGCAGAGCGGCGGGGTCGTTCCATCGCCCCCCCCCCCAAAGAAACGCTTTCCTTTCATGGCAAAGGAGCGGCGCTTTCGGGCTCGGTGGAAGGGGGCCAGGCACCTGTCGCTTCTTGGGCTTCTCGCCCGGGGAGTGGGCGGCGATGGGCTTCCCGGGCTGGCTGGCTGGCTCGCTCCGCGCCCTTGAGAATAGCGGTCCCAGCACCACGAGGTTCGCCTCCCATCTCCTCCCTCGCTTTAGACGGGGCGTAATTCTCCGCGTCGGCGGGGGCTGCTAATGGCGAGAATTTGCCCCGAAAATGGGCTGGAAGACATCGCCGTGGCCGCCTTTTGGTTTGCCGAAGAGCAGAGTTGGAAGGGACCTTGCAGGTCATCTAGTCCAACCCCCGCCCCCAGTCCCAAGCAGGAGACCCTACACCATTTCTGACAGGTGGCGTCCAGTTTTTTTTTTTTTTTTAAAGCTTCCAGTGATGAAGTTCCCACAACTTCCCGAAGGCAAAGCTTTTTTTCCATGAGTTGATTGTTCTCCCTGTCAGAAAAAATCCAGGTTATTCCCAGGTTGACTTCTCTCCTCCTTCAGGGTTTCCACCCGTTATTCCTTGTCCGGCGCTTTGGAGAATAGCTTGACACCCACCCACCCCCCTTCCTCCTCTCTGGGGCAGCCCCTCAAATATTGAAATAGTTCCGGCTTCTTTTCCGCGGGGAGCCGCTTTCAGCAGCTGCAAGTTGAAATTGGCGGGAAGGAAAGAGGCGCTTCGTGTTGTCTGCCGTGTGCCCGGGAAACGGGGGCGATTCAGGGGCGGTGGAAGGGGAGTTTGCAAGCTAACTCTTCCGATTCCCCTCCCTGCTCACCCACCCACCCACTCACCCCCACTCATGTTCTCGGAATTTTAGCCGCCATTGAACAACGTGGCTTAATGAAACTAGCGCATAATTAATAATTTAATGGGGGTTGGGGCGGGGAAACTACCGAGTAATAGCTGTAAACCTGCAAATCACCTGTTTTGTGGTAGACGAGAAAAGCCTAATTCCCATTTTTTTTTTTTTTTTTTTTTGCGGGTGTGTGTGTATGTGTGTCCAGATCACACATGGCACCTATTGATTTCTCTGCCTTGGGTGTCAATAGCAGAATGTGTGAATGAGCTCCAGGGAAAAGCATGGTGGGAGGGGGAATAGAGGGAAAGAGCTCAGTGCTCTGCATACCAGAAGTGTCACATTCAGCCCTTGGCATCTGGAAGGTAGCGCTAGGGAAAGGGAAATCTGGTGAGCTACTGCTAGTTGTAATACAGATGTGGATCCAGAGCATCCTGCAATCTAAGCTAAGGCTGGGACACTAACATTAATATCCTAATAATACCTTTAATCACTATGGAACAGTGCAAAATCACGTGATTCGTGCTCAAAAGCAGACTTGAAAGGCTGCAAAGTTCATACAGGTACAAAGTAATATTTGGGGTGTGTGTGAATCCAATACTGTTAAGCAGAGGTCTTCAAACTTGGCAGCTTTAAGACTTGTGGATATAGTGATAGAAAATTGGCTGCATTCAAGTAATATTTTTTTTTCCTGCCATTGGTCTCATAGAACCCCATTAAATTCTTGCAGAAACCTAGGATTAAAGGATTAGTTAGAAAAAACCTGGATTGGAGACTTTTTATTCATAATTTTAATCAATGTACCCATATATGGCGTCTTGACCAGAGATTCTGGGAAATCGTTTTTTTAAGAAACGGGTTCTGTGACATTAAAATGTGACATGAAAATCCCTACTTTGTTCAACTTGACAGCTTCAAAATATGTTAAAGCTACAGTTAAAGAGCCTTGGTAGTACAGTGGTTTAATGCACCCTGTTATTAACACAGCTGCCTGCAATTTCTGCAGGTTCGATTCTTACCAGGCTCAAGGTTGAGTCAGCCTTCCATCCTTTCTAAGGTAGGTTAAATGAGGACCCAGTTTGTGGGGGCAATAAGCTGACTTTGTATAAATATACAAAAGTATGAAGGCTATTGCTTAACGCATTGTAAGCCGCCCTGAGTCTCCGGAGAAGGGCGGCATATAAATCAAATTAAAAAAAAAAAAGTTCCCAGAATTCCGATCAAGAACTTTTGGCAGTAAATAAAAGTTAAATAATAGATGAAAATTAGAAAAAAGTAAATTACTTCTTCAGGGGAAACAGAGTAATGTTTACTTATTGAATACTGAATGTAGAAATATTGACAGAACTTGCACTGTTAACAGAAATTGATTTGATCTAACTGTCAGTAATAATCCTTTATCCTTTTAAATACAACTTACTTCCATGCACATACAATCCTGCCAGACTTGCTACCTCCAGGACTATGGCGTGTATTTTGACAGGCAGTATTAAAAGATTATATAAACTCTAAATCTTTCCCAACTCTGCAAGAAATCAAATGATGGGTATTGAATTCTGGGCCTTCTCCAAATATAATAAAACTGCGCCTCAGTGTAAAGAATGTTAGATTTAACTCAGCAGCAGGATCCCTTTTCCTTGGAAACAACCTTCAGAGAATTCTTAACATTAATGGTGTGCTACTAAAAATTGGAATTTTTAAGGTATTTCTTTTCTATCATTATTGAGGAAAGTACAAATGAAGAAATACATCAGTACTGCTTTCCTCGGCTACTCCCAGAACATCTGAAGGCACCAAAGAAACAATGCTTTATCTTATAATCTTCAGTTATTTAAGTATCTCTTTTCTTGTAAAATGCTCGCACATGAGAGAATGAATAACAGTACATGGAAAACTACATTTATTTACTGTCTTTACAGAGTGCCCTGGACAGTATAATACATTGTGATTTCTTACACTACTTTGCATAGCAATTCACTTTGGTAAGGCTGAGAAAGTGTATGACCTGAGATTGTTTTTGTCAATCTTGTGGCCTAATGGAGGTCTTACCCAGATTTTCCCTGGGGTAATGTTTTCCGTTTCCCAGTCTAGCTGCCCAGTATATGTTTATATAAGGAATCAAGCTGGGAGAAAATGTAATTACTTCAAATATTATTATATATAATTGTAATGGGAACATGTAGATTTTCCCCTGTTTTATTTTCCTTTAAAAAAGAAAAATCTGCCTGCTATTATAGTCCTTAGTGGACAAGAACCTTTGTTTTTTATATTGAGCTTCCTTTTATTTTATATTTTTACTTTATTTTATGCCACTAATGAGTCAATGTTGCCTTCTACTTTCCCTGTAGGAATTCTGCTACCAGTGTACCAAACAGACACCATCCAGTCTTGGGAACAACAAGTACAGAAGGTTGGTGGGGTAGATAAAAAACAAAATGATGAATGAAACTGTGAGTTTCATCAACACAACTGGAACAAATCCTTCCATGTAATTACAGGAAGTCCTCAGTTTATAACCACAGTTTCCATAGTTAAACAAGATAAGGGTCAAGTGAGTTTGCCTCATTTTATGACCTATTTTTGCCACAGTTGTTAAACGAATTACTGCAGTTGTTAAATAAATCATATGATTGTTAAGCAAATCTGGCTTCCCCTATTGACTTAGTTTTTCAGAAGCCACCAAGGAAGGCTTACAAAGGGTGATTGTATGACCCCAGGACAGTGCAACTGTCATAAATACATGCCAGTTTCCAAGTGCCCAAAGTTTGATCATGTGACCATGAGGATATTGCAACGGTCAAATGTGAAAAATGATCGTAAGTCACATTTTTCAGTGTCGTCGTAACTTTGAACAGTCACTAAATGAATGGTTATAAGCAGGGTGCATTTGATTTAAATCGAGTTGATTTAAATCACAATTTAAATCATGATTTAAATCACTATTAAAAGGCTTGATTTAAATCAACTCGATTTAAATCATAATTTTTAAAGAGCAACTGTCATCTCTGCTACTCCTTTGACCCACTGTTGACTCACCGATAGTCCCAGTGTTACAGAATATACAGCCTCATGCTACATAACTAAGCTCCATTTCATGCTGAATAAACTAAATTATTTATGTATCTTAAATAGAAAACTATCTTACGATAGATTTTTACCCCAAAAGTTTTTTATTAAAATAAATTCGATAAAAATCAAAAAAATCCGATTTAAATCAAAAAAATCCGATTTAAATCAAAAAAATCTGATTTTTTTGATTTTTTAAAAAAAATCATTGATTTTTATCCACCCTGGTTATAAGTCAAGGACTACCTGTACTGATGAGCTTCCTCCTAAATTTATCATATGGTAGTTGATTAACCATCTTAAAACATTCAATAAGATCTGTAGAGATTCTCAGTCATCCAGGTCATAGTTGTCCCAAAGGTGTGTTTTTTTTAGGAGGCAACTGGACTTTCTTGTTTTTTCTTTTGAAGACTTTTCGCTTCTCCAAGCTTCTTGGATGAGAAGCGAAACATCTTCAAAAGAAAAAACAAGGAAGTCCAGTTGCCTCCTGAAAAAGGACTTTTAGAACATTTAATAAGATTCTTCTAAGTTCATTATATCCCAAGGACCAGGAGTCCTGGAGAAACTTGTAGTTTCCTTCTCTGCAATAATTATAAATCCCTAAGATTGTGGAAAAGTGACAGAAACCAGGAAATCCCAGAAAAATTGTATTGCTGTTACTTTCAATTTAATATTTAGAAAGTAGCATTGGCTTGTATCTGGGGTTTCATTTGTCACTGCAAATAAATTTTTCTTAAAGACAATCTTTCCTGTTCCTAGTAAGGTTGCATGAAAAAGATGCCAGAGAATTGTGGTGACACAGTTGTATTTGATTCTGTCCTTGTGCACTATTGATATTTGTGTTCTTCCCCCAACATATTTTTAGCAAGTTAATATGACTCTCAACAGAGAAAAGGTACATTGGCTTATTATGCTGTGCTGTGCTAATACTTTTGAAAGATTGGGCAAATACTTGTTTTGCACTGTTATAATATTGTACACAAACCTTTTTGATCCAGTCATAAAGGAAAACTTGGTTTCATCCCACTGTAATATTTGTAGAATTATATTCACACATCCACAGATATCAATCGTTGTTGAGATACTTTTATGGTGTCGATAGTTGTAGATATGGTTTCATGAAGAAGTTACCTAGACCTCTTTCAACCCTTGCATACTTGAGTGGGTTCATGTGTGTATCCATGTAGTTAATATAACATGTGAAGGGGTTGTACTGATTAACCCTTCACACAAGCATGAGCATAGCTAATTTTTTTAGCTTATTAATATGGACAAGCTCTATGAATGGACCTGCTCATGAAATAAATTGGGAACTAAGGTAGCCTGCACAATGCCAAGGTTGTTTGTTTTAATCTGCTTAGTTAAAATTAAAAGGCATGATGGAACAATCTTCTGTAGAGAGACTCATCTGATTTATGGAAGAACAGAAGTAGGAACATGTTTTGTATTGACTGCAAATTGGATTCTATTAGATACATTAATGTATTACATAAGGGAATGGAAAATAAACTTAGCTGCCAGAAAACAGGATGGAACGCCAACATTTATTCTTTTCCAGTATTATCTAAGTTAATGTTCTTAAAATGCAAACTCTGAGATGGATAGAATTTGTCACTTGGATTATCCATCTGGGATGGTCCTTCAGCAATGGGACCTGTGTTCTCAGCAGTTTTCAGGACATTTGGAAAGAGGCAGGATAGGGTAGGCTTTTCGCCATCAATATGATTGTGGTTTTCCATCATGCAGTGTCCTATAAAAGGTATTTTGTATTGCAAAAGTTCTATTAATCACACCTCATTAGCCTTTAAGATTGTAGGTAGAATCTATATTACATTGAAGTTTCAGGGAGGAGGTACCTTCAAAAAAAATGTATGTAGCAATGTATTCTTGTTTCAGCAAGCTTTGCCTTTCAGATTTATGAAAGGGAGAGTTGGCCTATATTCCTGGACTTCACAAATGGGAAAGCCATCAAATATGAAGCTGTCTGTAATCAACCCTGGAGGCCCTTTGTAGTTACTATTTATTACACTGTAGCAACTTTCATGACACTTTGATCTGGTTGAGTTTTAACAAAAGTAATGGCGCAGTCTGTATTAGCCAAAATAACACAGTAACAACCAATTTAATACATTGAAACAGTACTCTTGACAACACATCCCAACCAAGGGTATAAGTAGTGATTCGTCTTCAGTCAATCCCAGAAGACTCTAAAAACAGATCTTCACAAACCTGTTAAGTCATGACGGAAGAGGTTCCTTCTATCTCCAAGACAAGCTATTTCCCAGAAAAGGAGTCCCCACAGAAAATTGTCCACTTCCTTCCCTAAGGGCCCCCGTAGGCACTTTTTATTTGCTCATTTGAAAAAGCAGATTCTGTTTGGATTAGACTGTTTTGAAGATTCTATTATGCTTGCTTAGGAGATCGATTCGGCAACGGGCCAAGAGATCCTTGTCCTAATTTTTTACAAGTCATGTTAGCATTAGAAAGATATTTTAGCAGTTGTGTAGCTTAACTACCTTTAAACAATATTATGCTGTATTTTTATTGTCCTTTTAAAGAAGGCTTGCAAGAAATAAAATATTTATTTTGAAAGAACTGGAAAATGCCTTGCAAGGGTATGAATATTTTAAATAAATAAATATGATTCTATTTAACACATACTTGCAATTATTTTGGGAGGGGACAGTTGCTTTCAACACTAGGCTGAGTTTATTGCCTTCCAGCATTGATTCTAAAAACAGATGATATCAGTGTCAGAAATGCATTTGTATTAGGTTAGAATTATTAGAAACCACAATAGTTATTAGAGTCTTGTTTCCAACTGAATAGCCTGCATTCCTGGTCAGTTATATGACATTTTTCTGTGGAAGCTTACTCCCACTTCATTTCATTTCCTGGGAATGTTTGCTAATGGTTTGTAATACTGACTCACTTTTAATCTAACTCAAAAACAGAAGACAATACAAATATAGAGCAGACTTTCCAAACAAGATGCCATTCAGGTTTGTTGGAACTGCAATTCAGAATTCTCAGCCAGTATTGCTGTGCACTAATTGGGGATTCTAGAATTCTCAGCACCAAGACATTATTTGTGTAAGGAAGAAAAGGACTACGGGTGACATGATAGCAGTTTTCCAATATTTGAGGTGCTGTCATAGAGAAGAGGTGGTTAACATATTCAAAGCACCTGAGGGCTGGACAAGAACTAAGAAGTGGAAACTTATTAAAAAGAGATCCAATCTAGAACTAAAGAGAAATTTCCTGACAGTTAGAACAATTAATTAGTGGAATGGCTTGCCTTCAGAATCGTGGGTGAAATCCAGATTTTTTTACTACCGGTTCTGTGGGTGTGGCTTGGTGGGCGTGGCAGGGGAAGGATCCTGCAAAATCTCCATTCCCACTCCACTCCAGGGGAAAGATACTGCAAAATCCCCATTCCCTCCTCACTCCTGGGGGAAGGATATTGCAAAATCTCCATTCCTACCCCACTCTGCGGCCAGCCAGAAGTGGTATTTGCCGGTTCTCCGAACTACTCAAAATTTCTGCTACCTGTTCTCCAGAACCTGTCAGAACCTTCTGGATTTCACCCCTGGTGCTCCCATCACTGGAGGTTTTTAAGAAGAGATTGGACAGCCATTTGTCTGAAATGATGAAGGGTCTCCTACCTGAGCAGGGGGTTGGCCTAGAAGATCTCCAAGGTCCCTTCCAACTCTGTTATTCTGTAAGTACTGTCAAGTTGGAGAAGGTTGGCATATGCCTTCTGGCATAAGTCAGGATATTGTTTTAGGAGTTGGCTAAAGAAGCAGGTTGAGCTGGAATGTTTTTTGGTGTGGAATAGGTGGCCTATAGTGATTTGGCAAGATCATATTAGGACAGGGGCCTCCAAAGTTGGCAACTTTAAAATTTGTGGACATCAACTCCCCAAATTTCTCAGATAGCCATGCTGGCTGGAGAATTCTGGGACTTGAAGTCCACACTAAGACATTGCCAAGTTTGAAGACCCCTGCAAGACCTCTGTCCTAATGGTGGAAATACTTTTAAACACAGCTTGTTGGGGCAAGGAGCCAGGATGTTTCTGATCATGGGAAAATGCCAGGATACCATGGACATGGCTAGTCTGCAGTTTCTGCATGCTTATCCAGGGAGAGCAAGGCCTTTTTCAGTGACAGTGGAAACAAAACCAAGCTTTGAGCATTTCTGCTTGATCACCACTATGCACTACACAAAGTGCAACCAGAGATAATGGCAAATGCATGAGTGATACCATCTTTTCTAAGAATTCAGACATAATTTATATTTCTGGAAGGAAATTGCTAGATTAGCCAGGGTTGGCTTTCTCCCATA